TCCAACAACTGCAGAGTATTTTTATAGCTGTTGTCATTACTATCTTCTCCTCAGGGAAAATGCTAAAACCAAAAAGAACCTGAAATACAAGGAAATGAGGTGAGCCCATCTATAAGCTCAGCCCCTTTCACTATGATGACTTCACCTGGGCATGTATCAATAACCTCTATCTCCTTCCCTATGCATTAAGAAAGATGTCAGTATAGCTAAAAGGGAAGGAATACTATTGGATGAACTGTAAATTAGAGAATTGGACATTTTCATATCACAAGGTCTTTCCTACAGAAAGCACACCAGTGAACTGTGAAATACCTCAAGGATGTCCTCTAAAACTATTCTCAATATGGAAAAGAGGAAACAAACCAAATTCCCAGCAGTAGGAACCTGGTTAATGAACATGTGATATATCTGTTCAATGCAGTACTACACGGCCAGTTAAAAAAATTAAGAATGATTTGTATGATGGTCATTGAAACATTTTCAAGATACACTGTCAAGTTAACAATAAAATACCAAGGGCTGGGGTGTAGCTCAGTGGTAGAACACTTGCCTGGCACACATGAGACCCTGTTATCTTATGCCCAACACCATAAAATATAAAGTAAATGAATAAAACCCAGGCTGACAGTTGCATAGTATGACTTCAGTTGTTATAAACAAAACAAAATTAATAAGTATAGTTCTATAGAAGGAAAAGATTTAAAGAATATAAGATTGCAGTGTATTTTAACTTTTAACATTATGTTTTGGTAATGTGTGGACTTAGAATAATATGTATCATGTGTATAGTCAAGAAAAATAAAGTTTCATTGTAAGTTAGTGATATAATTGGAAGGAAAGTAGTAGAAACTCTTATTTATAAAGAAAAAGTAAAACTTAGGGTGTTAACGCTTTCTAATAGCTCTACAACATCATCTGTCTTTGCCTTTCTTTTGGAAGACGGTAGGTATACCCTTAGTCTCAGAGTTTCAAAATTAAGCAACACCCTTAGATACTGGAGAAGTCCCTTTAGTGTCTCTCCTAACATCAGCTTCTCAGGATGAAAATGTAGCCCAAATTCCAGCATTTATCAAATTCAACTTAGCGACACTGTCGACCTCTAAACAGTTATAGACAAACAGGAGGTCTCTAATTCTAAGTAAAAATAATCACAAATTTAACAACAAAAGAAATGTAGATTCTGCAAACTCTAAAGACATTTGAAGAAATTTCACAATGGAAATATGAGGATTATAGACGACTGCCTCTGAATCCATAGCCCTGTAACCTACTCAAACATTGTAAACCTAGAAAGAAGGAGAAGAATTGCCTAGAAAGGTAAATTACTAGCATGGGAAAATTTTCTACCTTTCTGGGAAAGGGTGTGAATGCACTGGGAGAGGTTTGTCTCCACAATTACAAAACACTGGGCAAGTCATGTAAACTTCTATACCTCAATTTTCTCACCTGCAAAAGGAAAGATCTGGGAATAAGCAATTTCTGTTGGCTATAAAATTCTAATAACAGACCCTTACTCTATTCTTGCCAAAGAGTTGTATGAAAAAATAATACTCATGTAGCCAGGCATAGGGATGCAGGCCTATAATCCCAGCACTTGGGAACTTGAGGCAGGAAGATGGAGTATTTGAGGCCAACCTAGATTACATAGTGAGACCTTGTCTCAAAAAACATAACAATATACATTTACACAGAATAAAATTTTTTCTAATATTATAAAATATATAGGGGCAAAACCATAAGACTCTTACCTGGCTACTCCTCACCCCTGAGTTCCATCTCCCCCCTCCCAAAATAAAAGAAAAGGTCCTTCAACTCTTACAGCTATTTCTCTGGTAATTACCACCATATTTGTAAATCACACTCTTACATTAGTTATCTCCTGATTTCATTCCATTTTAGACATTACCAAAGGTTCCCTATTCAATCCATTGAGACATTTATTCACCCACCCCATTCCCCAGGGTTTCCCTCCCAATTTTAATGGAAGTTAGTTCAATGCTTTTGGTCAGCTACATTGTGGAGATGCTGAGGATATAAAGGTTATATACATATGGTCACATATATGTACACACAAAGATATCCACAATTTACAGTCCTGTTGTCCTGTATCCACATGAGTTCTCATATTGGTTAATAAGAAATAAGACCCCATTTCATATCCAAAAACTTCACAGAATGGAACAAGAAAAAGTTAAAAGCTTGGCCTGCAAATCAGAAATCCACTACACATGGGAGCAAAGTATGCACACAAAAACCCCTTTTTATCTCTGAACCTCACCTGTTTTCCTTCTGTGTAGTCTCAATACAACAGCACTCATTGCAAAATGTTTAATTCACACCACAAACAGGGTACATAGGATAGCAGTTTGTTCATCACAAAGCACTACTGAAAGGCTCACTTCTGTTAATGTCTTTACTAAGAGATCCCTAAAAATGAAGTCTTTGGGGTTTTGGTTGCTCTTGAACAACTAACTGTTCCCTGTACAGGAACAGTTTCCTGTACAAACAGGAACTAAGAGTAGGAAATCATTGGGAATAAGAGTGGAGTAGATATAAATTGTGTGTCAAGAGCAGAATCTGAGTGTCCAGTCCTTCAGTGGGCCTATGGACTGCCATGTGGGATAAATGTACACAGAATAAAGATCACATGCCTAACAGAGATCAGAGGAAGTAATTTTATTTTACATTTGCAGGAAGAAGGGAGCTTCCTTATCAATTTTTCTTTTTAAAAGTAATACAAGATCATAGTTTCACTCCTCAGAGGTAAGTCCTATTTCTTTCTTCCAATATTTACCTCCACATTTCTACATCTGCTTCTTGATTAGTAGTTATTATCTATTAATAATAGTAGTTATTTCCTATTATAGAAAAAACTTCATTATTTTACAATAAAAAGGATTTAAAAAAAAAAAAAAGAACTTAGCGACAGTTATGAACCCAATATGGGAGACAGAATACTGAACTGTCCAGCAATGCTTTACTCTGACTCTGTAAAAATAGAACACCCTTTTCATTTCAAAGGCCTACATTAAAAGTGGCCCAACGCACAGTGCCTCTAAGTTACAAGCAAGAAGGAAGCTAGCAAGGCAACTGAACCTAAAAGATAAGGCCACTCTTTCTCTAGAAGTCCTGTATCTATAAGACAAATGAGAAGTGGGACCCCAAACTTAATTTATAAGGCAAGCATGGACAGAATTCTTGGGCGCTTTACGGAAAGGGATTAACTGAAGCTGAAATCAGCCTTTAATTATCTGAAAAAAAATTATCTAAAGCCAACTAACATGCCTTATGAAAATTTATGAGCTGAATCTCCCGTTCAATTTCTGTCCAAAGAAGACCCCTGAAGTTTTCCAAATTGGGTAGACGCTGTGATCCACTAGGTCTGAGTACCTTCAGGGACATCATCCTGTCTGGTATCAGGTGCACTAGTGAACTGGAGGTCAGGCAAGTGACCGGGACAAGCAGGCATGGTACATTAAGGAGAGGAAATCTATTCCCTCGTTAATCAACAGGATAAAGGTGATTAAGCAGGAATTATCTTTCAGTGACCTATATAATTTCATCAGAGCTGCTATGGTTATTAGCAGGGTGCAGCTGACTTCCTAATGAGATGAATTTGATAGCAGGGCCCCTCCAGAGAGACACAAAGAGTAGCAGGCCGCCTCTACAGGGAAGCAACAATCGGCAGACTTTGTTTTCCAGCCTTCCTTCTCCTGAGGGCTGCCTCTCTTCTGTTTGGGTTCTCTCCCTCCATCCAGGGAGGGTTTCACCTGCATGACTAAGGCTGCAGCACTTGCCGAATGGCGGAAGATGGATCTGTTATGACTGGATGGGACTAGGACGCTGGGGCCCGACCTGGGAAAATTCGCCAAATGCCGCTCACGTGATTCCAAAAGTCCCAAGCTAACACCTCTCACCTCCTCTCACCCAGCTCGAAATAAAACAATAGCTAGTTCTACTCCCTCGCAGAAGTGGGGTTAACAAGGGAGCTTTGTCGAGGCCGGGGAAACAGCCACGACCTGAATGCAGTTTCATCAGGGAGTTTATGAAATTGAGCAACAGCCACCCAACAATAAAGTCCTTACACCGGGCAAGTGCTGCACACCCGAGTGGCACCGCCTCTGGCCCTTGTGCAAGCCAAGAGATTGGGAGAGGAAGACTCAGACCCAGGTCCAGGATCCAGGCACTCTGGGCCCGGGGACCAAGGACAGGGGGTGGTGAGCAGAAGACATCGTCCTCCGTCAAAACAAGCTGGCCCTGACTCCCCGGGGGTCAGTCACCGAGTAGCGTCGCGTGCTGGTGCCCGCAGCCCGGGGAGCCACCTCCTCCTCGCTGCGTCCCTGCCGGACACTGGGATCGCGTTTGGGACCTACCTGGCCGGCACCCCGTCCCCAAAACCTGCCGGGCCTCCGGATGAAGAGAAGAGGTTCTCGGGCTCTCCCTCCTCCTGCAACACCCTAACGTGAAAGACTCCTCCAAGCGCAGAGCTCAAGTCCGCACGCCACGTACCTGTCGGCGGCCGCCGCTCGTCCCCACCGCGCAGCGTCCCTGGACAGTCACAAAGTTTGTGTCGCGGTCCGAGGACGCCGGCCGGGAGCGGCTCCTCCCCGGCCCAGGACAATACGCCCCCGCGCTCGGGCAGATGCCCCCGCAGGTTTAGGCGGAGGTCCTCCAGCCCCGACTCTAACTCAGCCCCAACACCCAGGGAGAAAGTACTGGACAAGAGAAGGTCGGAACGCAACTTTCCGACCGTGCGTCAGCTGGTGGCGGAGCCGCACCGGGCTGGTGCCCGCCCCACCCCACCACCCCCACTGTGCCCTCGGGAGCGCGGGCGGGGCCTGCGGGGGCGTGGCCCAACCTGCCGGCCGGCCCTGGGGAGCGTGACGCAGGCCCCGCCCCACTACTTGCGGCCCCGCCCTCAGAAGGCTCCGCCCCCTCCGCTGGGACGCGCGGCCTCCAGGTGCGCCTGGCACGCGGCGGCGCGCGCTCCGGCCCGCGCGGGTTTCCAAGGTGAAGGGGGCGGAGCCTCTGAGAAAGTTTCCACAGAAACAAGCTGGCCAGCCCGGGAGGACCGCTCGCCTTTCGCTGGAACTTCACCCCTCGCTCACACCACGCGTGATGAAAAGGCACACACGTTGACGGGATGTTCGGGGTGCCCACGCCCCAAAGGTTTGAGTGTTGACACCGGACCACTTGGGTTTCCTTCGCCGACCCCTGCCTTCTTTTCTTGTCCCCTTTCCAATTCAGGGAGTACGGCCAAGTGGGACACACGATCCCTGTCATTCTCCAGGAGAACTCCCTGAACTGGAAAGGGGACGTCCGGCCACAGCGGGCGTTAATCCTGTGCAGTTTGGCTGTTTTGCTTTTTTACTGTAATCTTAGCGTTACCTGCCTTGCTTGTGGGTTTGAGGCGGGGGAGTGTATCACGCGTTCCCTGGCAATTGCACCCCCAAAAGTGAAGGCTCTTTAATTCGGGTACACCGCAGATGGAAGGTCCCCGGGAACAGGAGAGCGGGTGGGAGGCGGTGGCCTTGGCACTGCCCGGCGGCCTTGCACTTGGAGCGGCCTTGCTGCGCACGGCGGGGAGGGGTAGGTAGCGCCGCTCCCCCCACTAATGTCCTCACGCCCCTTACGTGCTTGACGGTGCCTTCTGCACTGGAAACCGGTAGGAGTAATCAGAAACTCGATTAGAAGCTGTCTTGGCCGTTTCCCGGCCCTGTGGTTTGTGTGGCTGAAACTTGAGGTGAGCCTCAATCCTAGGGATGGGCCGCCTCAGTTTGCAGAAGCGGATGTGGAGGTTTCCACCAGATTCTCCTTTGGAAGAAGTGTGTTCCTTTCTTTTCCACGAACAGCATGTAGATAACCAAAACCACTATGTCTAATTTCATAGGGGAGAGATAGGAGTTCTGTTGAATTTCCAGTACCACAGTAAAAAAAATGCTGTGGAGGAAAATTAATTAATTAATTAATTAGTTAATGGAGGTATGGTGGGCGCTCTTTTACCTAGAGTGATTACAGGAAAGAGTCGGGAGGAGGTAACATTTGAGTAAAACCTGGGGGAGGTGAAGGAGCAAGGTATCTGGGCAGACAACTTTCTGAACAGAAAGTATAGCAAATACAAAGTCCTGAGTGAATAAGCAACTAAGAGAGTGTGGTGGGTGAACAAAGATAATGAAGTCGGAAACAACAGGTAGGAGTGAGGTAAGTAAACCGGGCTTTTAATCCCAGTGCATTGACACCAATAGAGGGTTTTGTGTACAAGTGACATCTTCTGATACATTGTGATAGAGTCTTGCTGTGCTTTCAATAATGACTCTTAAAGACATTATTGCTTTAAAGGTTTGTTCCCCAGTCCCTGGAGCTATTAATAGGTGGTAGAACCTTTAAGAGGTGCGGGAGCCCTAGTTGGAAGTCTTCCACTCATAGAGGTATATCCTTAAAGAGGATGTGGAATCTGGTGCCTCCTCTCTCCTTGGCTTCTGGCCATGAGGTGACTGTTTCATCCACCATGAGCTCCCAAGGATGTACTGCCTTGCCACATGCCCAAAGGCACCAGGGCAACTGACCATAGACTGAAACCTCCAAAACTGTGAGCCAATATAAACCCCTTTCAAAATTGATTTATCTTTGGTATTTTATTATAGTAACAGACAGTTGACTGAAGTAGATCACTTTGACTCCTGGGTTGAGAATAGACAGTAAGGTGTCATAACTGAGTACAGAAACCAGTTAAGTCATTGAAATAGCCCAGAAGCAAGATATATGGCCTTAGACTAGGAAGGTAGTGGTGGAGATGATGAGCTGATAGGATTTCCTCACAGATTGGATGTGGAGTATGAAAGAAAGACAAGGATGATTCGGAGGCTTTGAGCCTGAATAGAGGGAAGGATAGACGTGCTGTAGCAAATATGGAGGGGATTTCCACATCACCGGCCCCAGGGGACATCATCTGAATGATCTGCAGTTTCCTCAACTTCTAAAATGAAGAAAATACCTCCTTCATTAGAGAAGTATTAGATAATGTGAATTAACACAGTGAAAAATCTAGCACAGTACTTGATACATATCAGGCACTTAAGAATGTTGTTCCTCTATCTATACAAATATAAATCTCATACAGATCCTTATGTTTTTCAGTCATTTTAGGGAAATGTATCTCACTAAAAAGAAAGGAAAGGGAGAAAGAACATGAAATAAAAACGTAAATGAAATCCAACAGCAAAGAAAAAGTGAAGGAAGACATGAAGCCAACAGATACCTACGTGATCTGCTTGCATGGGTACTGTCTTCTAAGATCTCCTTCCTCAAAAGAACAAACAATAGCATCAGAACATGCTAGTGTGGGAAGAGTTTGAAATCTAAAGAGTTTGTTGTAGAGCAGAAAAATAGTCACAACATATATGATATGCAAACGGTTTTGCTTGCTACTCCTTATAAAGAATTCTTTCAACTAAATAGAATATAAGAATAGAAAATAGTTGAAGGACATGAACATAGAACTCTCAAAAAGTGGCCAATATATGGATTTCAAAAGTTTAGCTATACAAATTAAAACTAGAATGAGAGGCAATTGTTTTTTATTTATAAATTTGGCAGGGATTGGAATAATTATCTCTATTTTGGGATATTGGTCAATATTATACCATGCTGAAAGAAGTATAAATCACAATAACTTTTGTCAATTTGTTAACTAAATCTTGAAAATGCATACTTTTTGAACCAATAATTTCACTTCTAGGAATTTATTGTAATATGCAAATATTTGTACCAGGTACCACTGACTCACCTGTAATCCTAGCCACTCAGGAGGCAGAGATAAGGAGGATTGCTGTTTGAGGTCAATCTGGGTAAATAGTTTGGGAGACCCTATCTCAAAAATACCCAACACAAAAAAAAGCTTGATGGAGTGACTCAAGCAGTAGAGCGCCTGCCTTGCAAACATGAAGCCCTGAGTTCAAACCCCAGTACCACTGGAAAAAAAAAAAAAAAAAACCTATTTGCTAAAAAAATGTATATGTAAGAATGTCTATTACAAGGCAAAACGTGGTAGCATAAAAAGCAAATTTTTTAAAAAAGGGAAAGGTCTAGGCACATGGCTCAAGTAGTAGAGCACTTGCTTAACAAAGCATAAGGCCTTGAGTTCACTCCCCAGTACCACCAAGAAGAATAAAAGTCTATCACACTGTCCTTGAAATGTTTCAGAAAAATTGCAAATACACTAAGTATCCAATGAAACAATTATGACAAGCAATACATGAGATGATAAGTCACGTGGTGATATTCTAGGCAACATTAAAATGAATATTGTTGGGCTAGGAACATGGCTTGAGTGGAAGAGAACCTGCCTGTCAAGTGCAAAGCCAGAGTGCAAATCCCTGTAACACCAAAAAATCCTACTATGTTGAAAAATATTTTACATGGAAACCTGTTTCAAATGTGTTATTAAATAAAATGAGCCTACTATGAGCAATGTCAAGTGCTCTTTGCAAATATTAATAATGATTACCTTGATAGGAGGATGACAGTTTATTTTTATTCTTTTGAGCTTTTCTCTGTTTCCAAGTTTTTTGTCACAAACAAGTACCACTTAGTATTAGGATTAGAATTGCTGGGTAAGAGGTTTGTATGTATTTTAATTGAGATAACCAAACGGTTTTCTAAAGTGTTTCTACCAATAGGCACTCCTACCAGCAATCTATAAGAATTCAGACTTGGAGCAATACATTTTTTTTCCTCTTTTTGTTTTTCAAGATGGGTTCCCACTGTGTTGCCCAAGCTGGCTTTGAATTCCTGGGCTCAAATGACCCTTCTTCCTCAGCCTCCCAAGAACCTTGGATTACAGTCCACATGCCACCATGCCCAGCTTGAAATAATACTTTTTTTTTTAAACAGCTTGCATTCAGCAATTGGTTTGAACCTACTACTTTATAAATGCCAATAATTATTCAAAAGTTAGAAATAAGTATATGCTTTTGATCTGGAATGTCCCCCAGAGACCTGTGGACCCGTGTGCTAAAGATATAGGTCCTTGCTTGGCTACTATCAGGAGGTGGTGGAAACTAAGACACAGGGCCTAGTGGGAGATTTTAGGTTATAAAGTATATGCCTTCAAGGAGATAATGCAGTGATGCCCTCACGTGTTCTCTCTCTCTCTCTCTCTCTCTCTCTCTCTCTCTCTCTCTCTCTCTCTCCCTCTCCCTCTCCCTCCTCCCCTACCCCTCCTTCTGTCCTCTTTCTCTTTCTTTCTCTCTCTCTCTCTCTTTCTCTGCCCACCATGAAGTGAATGGTTTCCTCTGTTATGTGCACTCCCCATAGGGCAAATGGGACATGGACTGAAACCTCCTATCTCTCAAATTTATTACATGTTTCTAAAAGTTCAAATACTAGAAATCTAGAATTATATGAAAAAAGGAGAGAAGTGCCTCCTCCTTGACACATGCTCTCATACATACACTCTTCTTTTCCAGAGCTCATAGGACAGTAGGTCTTAACATCCCTGTGAGGAAGTACACAAGAGGTATCATGTCTAAGAGAATCTGATGGAAGGTACAATGTAGGCTATTGAGTGGTCTGAGATGAGGATGTCAAAGCAATCCCTTCATTGGCTCAGATACTTAGGAATCTAAACTAAGAAGGCCAAGAAAGTGTTATCACTTTATATTTATATTTATATTAAATCTACATTTAAATTATCTTCTAAACTTGATTCTCTTAAGAGCTCAGAAATGAACAATGTGTATCCTGTTAGAATATTAATCATCCTGTCAAGAAACTCTTCCTTCTAACAAATACATTAATAAAAACCCATTGCTTTGGAATGGTCTCATTGCCTATGGAAATTATCAAGTGGCCAGGCTCTACTCTACTAATGATGTAAGGCTTATCTATTCTTAAAAGCCTTCTCTAGTTCATTTATCTTGTTTAACGTGAATCACTAGAGCAGGATGAGAGTCTAGGCTCTGCAGCAGAAGCAGACAACAAACACGTATTCAAATCCCAGCTCTGTACTTTCCAGCTTTGTGACTTCAGTAAAGTGACTTCACTTCTTGGCCTCAGCTTTCTGTCTGGAAAGAGATAATAGTACCTATGCCACCAGGCTAAAACTATATGCACGTGTGTGTGTGTGTGTCTGTGCATAATTCAGAGTACTTAATAACCACTAAAGAAAC